AAAATAAATCCGGGAAGCACCTCAAATGAAAGAGGCCTAAGAATTTCAATTCTTAGGCCTACCTTACTTGAACATTTTCCTATATATATATATATATATATATATATATATATATATATATATATATATATATATATATATATATATTAAAACAGAAAAGTGTGGAGGGAGTTTGGGAGGGAATTTGGGCGGCAAGGTGTATTCAAAATTCAAATAATGTGCTTCTATTAGTTCTATAATAGGTGTTGCCGAGATATGAGGAGTCTTTCATGAGAAAACATGTGGTATCAAGCTATATAAATGAAACTGCCGACAAGATATTAAATGAGCTACCTTTGAGATATTTGAGGTGCCTTTTGATCTTCAAATGTCTCTAGAAGCCTGTTGTTTTAACAAAAATGTGTAGTTATATGAGATGTCTTTTGATGTTTTAGGTGCCTTTTAAACTTAAAAAAACAACGTGCATTATCAGACCATTAAATAGGGTTATAAAAAAACGTGTGGTATCAACCTATATTAATGCTTGCTATCAAAATGTGGCTTTTCATCTTCTAGCATAAAGTTACCAGAAACTTTCTATATTATAAATAGAAGCTAACTTTTCTGCTTCTCTAGCGACATATAACAAAGCTGGCCAAATTGTTCTCCCACACCAAAGCCCTGAGATCAACAGTTTTATACAACCATCATTCATCTACACCTTGCTTATACAAATATATATAGTTAGGGGTTCCACCTTTTTACAACTTCATCACTGCGTGCAGTCCAGAGAAATGGCTACAAAGCGAAAACATGAAATCAGCATTTGTATAGGATGATATACAACTTTTAGATCTCTGTCGAACACAAAGATATTATTGTTCTCTTAGATGGTGTAAAAAATCTGATTTCTACACACGTCTGGTGTTTAGACGTCCCAACTTTTGGTTTCTACATTACTTCTTCAGACATGCATTGGGTATTAAGGTAAAATATACATGAAATCTATCACAGATAAAGGTAAAATAAGATTCATACATTTACAGTTATAGTACTACTCTAATTTCAAATGTTTGTTTTTTATTATCAAACACTATTAGATTGGAAGTTCTTTGGTTTATGAAAAAGTTGTTGAAGTGAAAGTGATAAGAACTGGGCACAAATATTCGATCACAAGTTATAGTTGGAATTAAACTTCTATTGGAGCACAAATATTTCTGCTCTAGATTTGGATCCAATTATATGGTCACAAATATTAGATATTACAAAGACCCACTTTTATTGAAACTAACATCTAATATTTGAGATTCAAATACAAACACATTCAAAGTGATTTCTTATCATAATTTCTAAGTTAGAGTTGAGCTCTATTAAAAATATTATTTAGTATTTTAGCTTTAAGGACTTGTGGCATTGTTACTTTCGTATAGAATTAAAAAAAGCTTTTAGCACATCTCAAATATGCAAAACAGTGTACAGTTTTAATTCATGAAAGAGGATTATAGATACTGCATAGAACAAACAAGCTAAACTTACCTTATCTGTAAAAACTCCAGATCGCCATACTCTTCTTTCTGACTTTCATTGATTATTTTTGTGTTTGTATTCAAGCCACCAAATGACACCAAACTCACAGAGAAATGTATAGGTGTACAAAAACACTATTTTTTAATTTAAGATATGTTTTGTAAACTAAAAATGTAACAAAATGAATAAACATTTCTGGAGTGATTATTGACTTGCAGAGTGACAAGTATTTGAAAATAAAAAGATTAATTTTTTCTGCCATTCTAGAAGCTTAGGTAAAGATTTGATATCTTATATTTTCTCTGATTACGCATGTGAATGAATCAAAATGGATTTCTGGGTTTGCTTAGGTTTCAAGAAACAACGATGTGACTAATTTAACTAAATATGTATCAACAACTATGAATTAAATCATTAATGAAATAATCAATACAAGAGGACCGAAGGAATACCGCAACTACTGATGGTTGGAAGTGAAAGTTGAGAAGGGTCGATTGGCCGAACCGCCAAAGGGTGAGCGACGGAGAGCGGCTGAAGATAGACGGCTGAAAAAAAGAAATGGATGAGAAATGGAGAGGAAAAAATGGAGAGGAGATGGACTCCAATTGAAGCATTAATTATCCATAATCGGATGATGATCCATAAAATATACTTCGTAATTCAAATAACTTTGATAATCGATGATGTCTGGCCAGAGAGTGCCCAACGTTTGGTGGGGATAAGCCGCAAGTAATTTGTTTATTGTTATTATTTAAAAAAGCGAATATTTTATGAGTTTTTCCTATAATATACACCTCTATCACGAAAAAAAATCGTCATATTGATTTTTCTTGATCAGCGATGACAAACTTTCAACAATTATTTTAATTATTATATATGTAATTAACATTTTTATGCTTTTATGAAAATATATTTAATAAGAAACGTTTTAATATAATTTTCATATTCAAAATAGTTCTGTGTTAAAAATAATGGTTGGGCAAAATTTGCTACCATTGATCAATATAAAAGTTAATTTGTCAAACCTTTTTAGGACAGAGAGAGTACTAACTCCGTCCGACTAACACATGGACATGAAGGAGTGTTGCGATTATAAGAAAAGTGGTTTTATGTAGTTGATATTGAATTGATATGAGATTTAAAGTAAGAATGATTTAAAACAACACAAATTTCTTCAAATTTTGTATGAAATCTTAACGGGGCGGATGGTGTACTCAAGTAATATATTTGAATTGTTTTCTATTTTTAGTCTATGTGAATAATGTAATTAAATAAGTTGGGGAGATTAAAAATTAAGTCACTTCTAAGAGTCTAGAGGCTAAGATTTCAAAGATAAAAGATTGAGGTTTTAGCGAGGCAGATGAAATAATAAAGTTATTAGAGTCGCATTTTTGTCCACTACATTCATCTTGATTGTATATTTGAATTATTTTCTATTTTTAATCTATGTGAATAATGTAATTAAATAAGCTGAGGAGGTTAAAAACTAAGTCATTTTTAAAAGTTTAAAGTTAATTTTTCATTTCAAACACTTCAAATTTTATTACTAATTACTTTTCGTGTAATCTTTAAAATTAATAACTACTATATAGTAGAAGTGAATTCAAACACTTTCCAAGTTATAAACTTGAAATGTAACTAACCGAGTGCACTTGATTCCCTCTAATATATACATTCAATGATAATACATAACACACTTGAATTTAAACCATTAATTTATTTTCAAATTTATAGTGTAGTACAATACACAAATGTCTTTTATCATTATTTTTCATCATCTATTAATTCGTAATTTATTTAAATATAAATAAATCAAATTCCTTTATATGAAATTTATTAGAGCATCAGTAGTTGTAATCAGGGGCGGAACCAGGGGTGGGCGAGCCGGTGCCGGCGCCACCCCTTCGCCGGAATTTTTTTAGTACTAGTAATAGGTATACTGATTGCCGCCCCTCTTCATCTTCTTCGTTGAGACTGACGCCCGTGGGAGATGCTACGAACCAGAGTTTGGGGAAGGAGCGGACAGGCAGACAGCCTGTTTTTTTCTTAATAATTAAATGAGCCAAACGACGTCGTTTGGATTAGTGCACAGGGAAAACAAAACGACGTCGTTGTGACCATAACTATGACATACGCTTTGACCGTCTTTCCGTAATCCTTGTGCGGCTGTGCCTGTTCGTCGTTCCAGTCCCCTTCCTTTGCCACGCCAGTCGCCGACAAGCCGTTAGACTCCGGAATCGCCGTCGCAGGCTCACCCTCGCCAGTCCCTTCTTGTCTGCCCCTGCGTCACGAAGTCCAACTCAGAAAGCGAAGCGGAACTCCAACTCAGTTGCATAGTTTGGCCGTTTGGATAAGTCCGTAACTATGGCAATTAATTTTAAAATTGTAATCCGTATTAATTACTTTATTTGCTTTTTTAGTTTAATTAATTATTTACTTTAAAATTGGATTGAATAAATGGTTTAAGGTTTACATTTGATTAATTGGTTTAATTGATCTAAAGTGTAATTGATTATTAATGAGTTTTTTACACAAATATTACTAGAGTAAAACTTACGGAGTATAATTTACATAAATATGGTCATTCAGTTACTACAATGTAGTGTCATAATAACTCAGGTTTAAAAGTTGAACATAAATTACTATAATTTCATTACTACTATAGTTACTAATTACATTTTTGTAAACAGTCGTTATTTTAGTCATAAATATGTAATTTTTTCTTGTTTAATTGCTTGAATTGGTATAACCGTATAAAGTAACGACTGTCACTGGACTAAAGGCTAAAATTAAAAAAAAGTATAACCGTATAAAGTTTAAATTGATTGTGCAATTTTTTGATTAATTAGTTTCATTGCTTTAGTTGTTTCAAATTTTAATTGATTATAACTATGGAGTATTTAAGAATTTGAAATTGAAAACCTTTTTAACTTGTTAGGTTACTCATGTGATCATGTCTATCTTATACTACGTAATATGTAACATGAGGCGTTGGGCCTTCTAGACGAGATAACGAAGAAAGTAGTAGAGAAAAACATCATTTCGGCTTTCTTCTAACATTTAATTATAATGTAATGTACTATTCTAATAAATTTTATATTCTGTAAACTTTAATAACAATTTATATTTTTGCATTTTATCTTACTTTTAGCCACCTCTTCATTTTCGTTCTGGTTCCGCCACTGGTTGTAATATTATAATTTATAAATTTATTATCCCGTGCATCGCACGGGTACTATACTAGTAGTATTCTAATACGGAGTATATAAATAAGAATTTAGTATATTTGACACTTTTTCCATTTGTTTATTTATTTATTTATTTAACTTTATAGCCCATTTTTTATGAATACTGCAACTAGACCGATCTAGTTAGAGATGTGATCTCCATCTCCAATGATAAATAATCCACAAAACACTGGCCCAAGTCCAGAAATGATATGAATTCGATCTAAACGTAATCGGGCTTAACTGTCCAGGCCGTTTCTGTTCCATTAACCTTTATATAAAAACCCTCAGTGCTCCTTTCGGCCCTAGCACTTCAGCAGCAACCGTGCGATAGAAAGCCAGAGGGATATCGGGAGAGAGGGAGGAAAACAGAGAAGGCAAGATGGCTGAAGTAATGGAATTAGCCGCCCAGATCCCCCCGGAAGAGAAATCTTCGTCTGGGATCATGCTGTTCAATCGGTGGACCTACGATGACGTCCAGGTCTTGCTTTCTAAAATTTTCGTTTAATCTCTTACGTTTTTCAGCTTGTGTATTTCGTCTTGAGTTATAGTTTATATATTGATACTAAACTAGATTGGGTTTTACTTATTGAACTCCAATGTCGTTGTTAAGAAGTGTATATTGATGTTCGAAGAAAATCAGTAAAAAGAAGCTTCTTTTGATTTAACAATTTGAAGTTCTCTTTTGGAGTTTAAAATAGCCAATTAGCAGAGCAATGGCGCCGATTCAATCAACATCTACTGCCTTTGTAAGATTTGATCTTCAAAATATTTTGTCAATTTCAATTTATAATAACTGGCCCTTTCCAATTTATATATGCAGGTAACTGATTTGTCAGTTGATGATTACATCACTGCTACTGCTGCCAAGCATCCTACATATACTCCCCACACTGCTGGAAGGTATCAAGCAAAGAGGTTTAGGAAGGCACAGTGCCCAATTGTGGAGAGGTTGGTTAACTCTCTAATGATGCACGGAAGGAACAATGGTAAGAAGCTAATGGCTGTCCGAATCGTCAAACATGCAATGGAGATAATCCATTTGCTGACAGACCAGAACCCAATCCAAGTCATCGTGGATGCTGTTATCAACAGGTTCTGGATGTTCTATATATTTCATGCAATAAATGAATGCTATTTTTTTATAGTTGCTTGAACGTTACGATAAACAGTACAGACAAACGTGTTTGAACATTCTGTCTTAGTAGGCGGATATGGAACTGTGCTTTTATTGTTATGAGTAGTCGTTCAAAATATTGGTACCATTCTCTGTGAGCTTGTCATGCAGTTCATGAATCCTTCAAAGTGGGTTATTTTAGGACTATTTGGCTTGCAGACGTTTTGGCCTTTGAATATTGTTTGAAATCCTTTATTGTGGACATTTAGGGTCAAATCAGAACATTAAAACTTTAGGAGAACTCAAACAAGAATTGAAAGGGAGGTGTAAAAGTAGATGTCTAGAAAAGTAAAAGGCTGATATGGAAGTGTCAAATTCCTTAATTTAATGCTAGACAATTATCCACATTTGTTTGATTTTTACTGCTGTTGTATTTATAATCAGCACTATTGCCTTGTTATTTTTTGAATGTTTTATCACACTTTTGCTGTGTTATTTTTGGGCAAATTCCCATCATTTAGACTTGTTAACAAATCCTTTGTGCATGATCATTTGTCTATCTTGAGTATTTCTATTTCAATAATAAAAAATCTGTCCAGTATATCAAATTACCCTCTGATTATACCATCTTTGTGTGTGTAACAGTGGTCCACGAGAAGATGCTACACGTATCGGATCAGCTGGTGTTGTTAGACGTCAAGCTGTTGATATCTCACCTCTTCGCCGTGTCAACCAGGCAATATATTTGTTGACCTCTGGTGCACGTCAAAGTGCCTTCAGGAACATCAAAACCATTGCCGAGTGCCTTGCCGATGAACTCATCAATGCTGCCAAGGGTTCTTCTAACAGGTAAAAGTTGCACTTCTGTTGAAGTGCCTTTTTTAATGTTTGCCCTTATACAGAGAGTTTTACTTGCTCATGCCCTCATATTTCCAATGTTTGTTATAATTTTTCATATATGTGCTTTTTTTAACTCTTAACCAGAAGAACCATTTTCAAAATTCATGTGCAGAATTATTTTTTGCTATCAACTTAGTAAGCAATTAAAACTACCTATAATAGGAGTGAATTACTCTTATTTTGGTAAGAAAGTAATGATATTCCTATTCGAGAAAATATGCTATGTTTTTACTCTGCTTTAAGAATACTTTTCCTTTTTTACTTGTAGCTATGCCATCAAGAAGAAAGATGAGATTGAGAGAGTTGCAAAGGCCAACCGTTAAGGGGTGGTTCTGTTGGGTTTTCTTATAACTTCATGTTATGAAGTTTGTTTTATTAATTGGATGAGGTTTCGCTGGTTTGACAAGCTTCTAGAGTTCTAGATATTGGTTATGATCCAGTTTTGAACTTAAGTTGATATTTATGATTTATCATTATCTCTTGAACTCTTACCAAGAATTTGAGTTTTGCTATTTTGGTGTTGTATGTTCCTTGTGGCTAATTTTCTCATCATCGTAAAAAACATGATTTAGCGAAAATGCGCTGGTATCCTCGTACTCCGTATTACAGAGTTAAAGATGGCAAACGTTTAGGAAATAAACCCTTTTAATCTTTGCTTCTGATAATCATCGAAAATGATCTCTGCTATGCCAAGTTACTATTCATTACAAAACGTTTTTGATCTGTGCAAAAGTTATTCCCAAATGTAGGCATGGCAATGGGTTGGGGCGGGTAGCCGGGTACCGCAAGACCCAGACTCGCCCCGTGACTTGGCGGGATGGGTCTGCCCCGCCCCGTGACCTGCACGAGTCCAAACTTGTTGACCCGTGACCCGCCCCATGCGGGGCGGGTTCGCCCGACTCGCCCTGCAGTAACCTGATTAGCTAATATGTACTACCTCCGTCCCATATTTATCTTCATAGTTCGGTTTACGATGCTTGACTGACGATAAAGCAATTCGATCCCTGTTCACACTCAGATTATTTTTAGAAAATAAAATTTACATATTCAGAAACTACATTAAAACCGCTACAAAGCCTGATCAAGAAAATTTAAATTAGATAAAAATTTGATATATAAAGTAAAAGATTAAGAGTAATTTGAATTGACCATGTGAATAGTAACTATGAAGATAATTTTGGGACGGAGGGAGTATATTTATTTGTGGGAAGTTAGTAATTGAATCTTCATAAAGTTTATCTCTAAATAATAATTAAAAATTAATATATTGAATCAAATTCATGATACCCTAAAAATTTAAAAAAGGGAAAATAACTTTAAATAATACAAACTATCTTTCGTGAACCAAGAATAATATGTACTTTGAAACTAAGTTTTAATAATACCAACTATATAAATATAGACCAAAAGTGATGTAGAGCATATTTTTACTAAAAATTCAACTATTTAACTCATCAAAAACTTGTATGAAAATATCTAGTTAGTGAATATATTTCTAAATATCATTTATTTGATGGCTTGACATTAGCTTTTGATGTCTTAAATGATCGGTTTTTTGTCAAAAAAATGAGTCCATATCATTTTTGTTTGACATTCAAATAGTTGGTATTATTAAAAGTCATTTTCGAAGTTTGTATTATTATTGGTTCATGGATGATAGTTTGTATTATTTAAAGTAATTTTTCCTTTCAAAAATTAAGTTAAAATTACTCGGACTTGAATAGTTAATCTATTTAATTATACTAAGGGAGTGTTTGGAAGTAATTATGCTTCTTTTTTAAAGCATAATCAGAATCAATTTTCAGAAGTTGGTCATCCTCGGCTTCTAAAACAACTAATTCTAGGAGTAAATTAGAGCACCAGAAGCAGTTTTAAGAATAAGACCTAAACACCCCCTAATAATTGAACATATGTAGTAAAATGTTATATATAAAGAAGATATTGATAATTTGTCGTTCATCTCATTCTAATATATGTATTAATATATTATAAGAACAAAGAATTTAGGCTAAAGGGTCAAATAGGCCCTTGAACTGACTTAAAGTGTTCAATCAGCCCCTTATATAGGAGATTCTACCTGGCGGTCGCCAATTGGGGCGGTTCCCGGTGTTCAATCAGCCCCTTGAACGTTGTTTAACTACACAGTTATCTTCAAAAAATCATTTGACTTAATGAAGAAGATACTCAAAAAAATTTATCAAAACATTCCACCGGGAACCGCCCCAATTGGCAACCGCCGGGCAAAACTTCCTATATAAGGGGCTAATTGAACTCTTTAAGTTAGTTCAAGGGCCTATTTGACTCTTTAGCCAAGAATTTATGGTTTACTGTATACACACATATGTATGTTGAAGTATATTTGTAGTATAATTTAAGAAAAAGTATGTATGCTTATGTATTGAACAGGTCAGGTCGGGTCGGGGCGACACGGGTCAATAGTAATACCCGGACCTGCCCCATTTGGAAGACGGGGCGGGCCCAACCCGCCCCAATGTCTCGGGTCAGGGCGGTCACTGCGGGTCGGTTTTTTGTGACATCCCTACCCAAATGTTTGATTTTAGAAAGGAATCGTGTAGCTCTTCTTGTATATACGGAGTAATTGATTATAGAAGTATAAATATGTTTTTACAGTATTTATTGGGTTTTTGGAAGGTGGTTTAAATTGATACGTATCACAGGTAAAACAAAAAAAAGTCTTACTACAATTGAGTTAACGTATAGTGTTGGACCCGGTTCGGGCCGCCCGAATCGGCCCGGCCCGCTACTGTGTGGGTCCGGCCCGGTGTACCGGTTTTGGTTCCGGGCCTAGGCCCGTCCGGGGGGGTAGGGTGGGGCGGTCCCGGTTCACCCCCTTCTTTGGAATCGGCCCTGGCGGGCCCGGGCTTGGTTCGGGTTTTCCTTTGTTTTTTTTGGTTCTTTCATTGTTTTGGGCTTTTTCCTGAGTTGGACTGGGTGTTTTGGGAGGGTTTAGGGGTCGGGGGTTAAAAGATAAAAGATGAAAAGATGCCTCTTATCATCTATTTCTTCGAAGGACACACCTTTACCTAGTCGCCACAAAGAAGCCATAAATTCCATGAAGGTCTTGAATTTTATCTTCCTGTCAGTAAGAAGGATGCCTACCACAGGGAAACTCGCCCGCCTCTCCACCGTGATTTCTCCAAAATCATTATCATCGAAGTTCAGCTCCTCGCCATCCCCTCCAATAATCATGTTTTTATATGGATTGACAACATCTTCCATTGGAATCCCTCCATGCTGGACCGAGCCAAAACCCGCCACAAAGCTCAACAAGTCTGCGCTTCGCCTGCTATCGTTCGCCGACCGAGACAGCCACGGGAGAGCCGCAAACCCCAGTCTCGAACAAAATCCCCTAGCTCGACCAAGAAGCCCCACATCGCCGCTCTTCGTCAAGGACGAAAATGGAAACCGGAAACCTTAGAGAGAGAGAGAGTTACAAAATTTATTGTTGAATACATAATTTATAAATATATATAAATACACATATTATAATTGATATATTTACAAAATTTACAAATATACAAATTGTATATTATCTAAATATATAATTCACATAATTTATTGTTGGAAAGAAATTGTGCATAAATTGGATTTTAATCAAATACTGATATGTTGTGACTTGTGAGTGGTACTCTAGTTGAAATACTTGCAGTAGCCTTGTCTAAATTTATTTTTTACATAGTACCCTCTTGTGGCACTCACCTATTTATCTGTTGAACTACGTCCACCGGCGAATGTATTGTTGAAAGTGTTTGCCGGATGAAATCTTTAATCATAAAAGTTGGAAATTTATGAGTCTTTAATCGTAAAATTTGGAATTTTATATTGGGGATGGTTTAATACAGTATATCATAAATGCAACATTGAATTTTTTAATGCAACATTGAATTTTTTTCACTATTCACATGTTTTTGACTTTGTTTTATGTATTAATGTATTATAAATTAAACTTAATTTTTTTTTTAAATTTTCTCATTTTAAATTTTCTGAATCTAATTTTTAATATTTTTACTAATAAGGAATGAAAGATATTAATGGTCAAACTTGTAAGTTGACAAACGTATAAAGTGGACTGTTGCTACTAAAAAAGAACAGGGAAGTATGTTTTATCTCATATCTTTATCATGATGTAAATTTTCGGTATGCAAAAATACATACAGTTACCTTATCCGAAATTTTGGTTTACCTTGTTTTGGTATAATGAAATTTCAGTACGGTAAAGATATGGCATCAGTTGATTATAAACATTTTCAAAAAATATTTGTAATATAAAAATTATGTGAAAATGCTCTTTATTAAAAGTACTTTTATACAAGTATAAAATTTATAACTTTCATAATATTATACTAATCAAAATCATGATTCTTATACTAACCATAACCACCCCAACGGGTAACGCGTATAACCGCGGGTAACCGCGGATAATCACTTTATTAAATGAGTCATTGATATTTTAATATTAAAATAATATTTTAAAAGGTGAAAAATGATATCATCTAGATGACTCTAGACTCAGACACCACTTTAAAGTTTCGTATATTCTACAAGACGTGAAAGAAGACAGCCTAAATTAATTTGAATCTAAAAAAACTCAACCTGAAAAATAATTAATCGCGTAAAAATATGATAATAATCAAACAAGACTTTTAAAATCTATTATGAACTTTCATTCATACATTATAATTAGTACATCTATTCAGTGGCGGACCCAGAAATTTTCCGAAGCGGAGGCACTCCCACATAGATGAAAATGGGTCGGGTCAAATTGGGTGTATCATTGGTCTTTTATGTCAAGCGCGTTCAAATTAATATTTTTAACTGGAAATAGATTATTCAATGCCGACGTCAAACAATGAACATATATTGGATTATAAGTCTAATTGTGAACTCATTAAGACAATTTTAAACAATAATATTTGACTTTTTGAAAGAAAGACATAATTTGGCGGATTATAAATGACTCATCTTTGCGCCGTTTCTGATTTTACATTAGAATTTTCGCTATTTTTCATACTATAAAATGATCAAAATTTCATATTTGAACTGGAATCATGTCGTTGTTATACATTGTGCCACAAAATTTGTTGATACTTGTCTAAAATATAATACTATGTACTATCGTGTTAAAAATGAAGTATAAGTCAAGTTTAGGATTTCATCATTTACTACTACTTTATTTAATAATATGATTCTATATATCTATCTTTTACGAGTATCATATTATAGAACAAATTTAAAGGGTTTGTCGGTTTGAAACTAATTTATCGAGAATTGACATAATTTTCATGTATGGACTTTTTTTGAAAATAAAAGTCTTCAATCTATTAAGTTTATCCCACATATTAGAACCTTTGTCATGTCTTTGAACTTTAACTTTGGGCCGACATTATTCAGACCAAGTAAAACATCATCAATCCCACTTTTCAAAGAAAGTGTATACTAACCATATAACAACATATCTAACTATAAGAATTTGCTCCATCACAACTTCAGAGTTCAGAGTTGTTTATATTTCTTACTACAGTTATTATATGTCCTCGACGGAGTCCTATATATTTAATAGTTTTTTGGAATAATGACAATATGATTGAAATAAAGATAGTGGACAAAAATACAGAGTGTGACTTAGGTACTACCATAGCAATTTTAGTGATCATAATTCTGTTCATTAGTTATATTCCGGTAATATTTATGAAAAATACTCCACTTTTTTGTCCGGATAGTAGGGACACAATTTTTATCTTAAGTACTAATACTAAACTTCACGGTCTGAAGCGGGGGCACTTGCCCCCCTAGGCCCCTCTCTATGTCCTCCACTGCATCTATTATCCATATATATACATAATAAAAATAGAAAAATCTCATCTTTTATTAGTTGTGGGACAAATAATAGATAATAATGTAGTAAAGAATATAACTAAAAATAAATGGGGCAGGTACGGGGCGGGCATGTATAAAACTTTAATTGGCCCGTTACCCGTAAAAACAAAACGTGTATTCCCCATCCCGTACACTTTACCCGTTCAATGCGGTTTTCCCCATTTTGACTGAGGCGGTTTGGAGCGGGTATCCATCGGATCAATTGCATTTGCCATCTCTACTCGTAGGGATGACAATGGGGTGGATCGAGGACGGTTTTACATATAACCGTACCCGCCCTGGTGGGTAATTTTTCCGCCCTGTAACCATCCCATTACCCAACGGGTAATTTTTACTCAACTCATAACCCCAACGGGTAACGGGTATATCCGTGGGTAACCGCTTTATTAAATGAGTCATTGATATTTTAATATAAAAATAATATTGTAAATGACGAAATATGGCATCGCCTATATGACTCTAGACGTCAGACGTCACTTTTACGTTTCGTATATCTACAAGACAAGAAAGAAGGCAATCCAAATTAATTTGAAGCTAAAGTACTTAATCTGAAAAATAATTAAATTCCGAAAAAATATTATAATAATCAAACAAGACTATTAAAATCTATTATGATCTTTTATTCATACATTATAATTAGTAATCTATTATCCAAAAATACACAATGAAAATAGACAAATTTCATCTTTTAGTAGTTGTGAGACAAATAATAGATAAACATGTAATAAAAATATAACTAAAAATAAACGGGACGGGTAATGGGGCGGGAACGTATAAAATCATAAGAAAGAATGGCACGAAAATTACCCCACAGCTTTGGTCAGACAAACATATGAGTGAATTTAATTTTGACCAAAAACTGACCGACTTCTTCTCTTCTAAAAAAACTCTGCTTTTTCCTTCTTAAAAAAAACCTCCGCTTCTCTTCTCAAAAACACAACACACGCCTCATCTTCATTTCTGCTTCTGTGCACGAACAGAGACGATGGAGCAAGACTTTGACGGCGAGAAGACATCCAACGAAGATGACTGTGACCTCCAGCGAAGACGACGGCGACCTCCGCTGCGACACCAATGAGACGCGGCGGTGATGGCGAACACCACCGCGACACTTCAACTTCTTCGCTTGTCCTCTTTGCCGCTGTTTTTCGCTAGCTTCATCCTTCTCATCCCTTCAACGATGGAATTGATCGAAGACAATTTCAGATCTGTGGCAGCGATTACAGATCCAAGGTGGTGATTTTCGTTCTTATTTTCAGATCTGAGTTTCAGATCGAATTTGACTGGGGCGAGGCTGGAAGGTGGTGTGCAGCGGTGTTGGTGTGGGGCTGGAGCACACCATTGCTGGTCGGGGGCGGGGAGAGGGTGCTGTGGGGCTGGAGAGATGAGATAGGGGAGCCTGGGATTAGGATGGGGGATGGGGTTAGGGAGGTGACTGGAGGTTATGGAGTCAAGCCGGCGGCCGGTGGTGGCGGCGGCGACCTGGGGTGATGGGGTTGACAGGAGAGGGGCTTGGGCTGGCTGGGGAGGGTGAAGGTGGGGGTGGTGGACACCTGGGCTGGTGGGATGGGTTTGGAGTGGTGGGAAATGGGTTTGGATTGCTGGGTAGCGCGGCTGGTGGTCGCCGGTGGCTGTGGCCGGTGGGGCTAGGCAGTGGAGCGGTGCGGCGGCGGTAGTTGGGCAGTGTTGGCGGTGGAGGGGAGAGGCTGGGGCCGGGGGTGCAGGGGAGGGGTCGGGTGCACGGGCGGTGGCTAAAGTGACACGGGCGGTGACTAAAGTGACACGGGCGGTGGCTACAGTGACACGGGCGGTGGCTACAGTGACACGGGCGGTGGCTACAGTGACACGGGCGGTGGCTGCAGTGACACGGGCGGTGGCTGTAGTTACAAAAAAACGAACACGTAGTGACATAAAATTTTTACAGTTACATCATGTTTTCTAATTGCACATATATGACCTTCTTGATCACTTTTTTGCCCTCTTTTAAATGTGGTCACTTTTTGGGTAATTAGTTCAAAATTAGTAATATCCAAGTAAAAACCCCAAATCATAATCGCCCCATTACCCGTAAAAACAAAACTGGTATTCCCCGCCCTATACCCGTTACCCGGTCAATGTTGTTTTTCTTGTTTTGACTGGGGCAGTTCAATGTAGGGTTTCCTTTGTTGGTTGGTCAAATCAATTCTCTCTTTCTGGTGAATGGTGAAACCAAATATTTTATTTGTATTATTTATTGATTATTTGAAGTAGCAAGTGCAACAAGACTTTTTAATCTAGACTAAATTATTTTGGGGTAATCGATCTGGAAAGATTTATGAAATGTTTTTCGTTCAAAGTTTATATCATTGTAGTCTTAGCCTATTTATTCACTTATTTTTTGTAATCGTTTAATGAATAAATTAGTTATTTGATTTAAAAAAAGATTTTTTGTTTAGTTTTTTTTATATAGAAGGGAGAGGGGGGGGATAAGAAGTTTGATGTGCCTAATTATGTGTTTATTTTGCTTACAACTTTTAAAGAAATAATTCCAAATTCCAAATATATAATTAAAATAAAACTATAAAACTAGTGGGCAAAATGTGATTTCTGATAACTTTAGTGACAATATAAATTTACACATAGTAACTTATAATAATATTTTAGGAAAGGCTAAAGGGTCAAATAGGTACATGAACTAACTTAAAGTATTCAATTAGCCCCTTATATAGGAGATTCTGCCCGGCCGTCGCCAATTGGGTCGGTTTCCGGTGGAATTTTTTGATGAAATTTTTTGAGCAACTTCTTCATTAAGTCTAGTTTACTCATACCAAATTTCAGCTAAAAATTCAACCGGGAAGACAGTCAAATGATATTTTTGAAGATAACAGCGCAGTTAAACAGCGCAGTACATTTCAGAAAATCAATTGACTGTCTTCCCAATTAAATTTTTTGTTGAAATTTGATATGGGTAAACTAGATTTAATGAAAAAAATGCTCAAAAAAATTCATCAAAAAATTCTGGGAACCGCCCTAATTGGCGACGGCCGGGCAGAACCTCCTATATAAGGAGCTAATTGAACACTTTAAGTTAGTTCATGTACCTATTTGACCCTTTAGCCTTTACAAAAAACCTCCGTACATATCTTTTCTAAAATACTTCGTATTATTTGAAATACGAAAATATTTTTCCGAGTACGAACACCAATTGACAAGCACATCTGCACGACTGCACTTAATGTAAAGAAACAGAGAATGAACTTTGAAGTGTAAAATTCGGTTTTTCAGGGTGCATTCCGTTAATTTATTCCACACAAGTGTATAACCAGAGTAATATTTTTTTGTAATCTTGTTTGATTAACGTATATTATCACTTGCGTCCGACCGTTTGAAGCAAAATGGAAGACCAAAATACATCTGATCATCATATTCATCAATGCATCAGCAACATCAGATGACATTAGAAATTGCAACCTTGACTCTGAAAAATCATCCCTTGTTTCAAAAACGGAAAGCATAATAATTAAAATTATTGAATAATATGAAGTTATGAACCAAGATAAAAAAAAAATTTACTTAGCTCAGTGATATTCTATAGTAACTGATACAAAAATTGACCATACAGTTAAAGCTCAACGTTTAACCCATTGGAAACTCTTTCTAGCCTTTGCTCTACCGGGCTTTTTCCTTTCAACAACTCTTGAGTCTCTTGTCAAGAAACCACCTTCAGAAGAATGATGATAGATAAAAATTATCAATAAAAGATGGATTACATTATTACAAGCTTCACTTCATGTGGAACGTTTGTTAATATGCTTTGTACTCAAAGATGTTGCATACCCCATATCCGATGTTTATTTGAGTTGTGTTGGTATATACGTTTATGATAAACATCAACTCTAGAAGAACCTTTCGAAATGAGTAATGCCCAATTTAACAAAATATAATACATGCAAGCTACCTTGATCCAGATGCATACTCCCTCAAAAAATAAAAATTGTTTCTAAATATGCTTTTCCTAGAGAAATGTACTATTTGATCAAACGAAGGCTAATCTTTGATGCAATTGCAACAAAAAGTGCATGTTAAATGTTATATGTAGGGTTCCATAACTTTGTGTACTTTTCCAAAAATACAAAATTCAGAAGTTACACTTTTGAAGAGGGTACATTACCAGAAGTTTTAAGAAGACTATACACATACGTACCTTCTCTCAGAGGACGACGCAACTCAGGGTCCCAGTTTTGCAACGCTCTGCTGATGCCCAACTGAATCGCACCAACTTGACCTGTTCGACCATTGATTTATTACTTTCTCACATACATGTATTTCAGCAGCACAGAAGAGGAAAAAAAACTCAACAAGAATTCAGCAAAGATCCACACACATGTATCATGTATGATAGACATAGAAAAGAACACACACATATATGATTACCATAAGTTCATACGGAGTATAATAAAACACAGATAGAATTACATCCTTAAGAGGTTAAGGTATAAGTTTTTACAAGGTGCATCCGTTAAAAAGTAAACATATCCAAATTTATTTTTTCTTTTTAACTTGAATTCTCATTTTGAACCATACATCTCTTTTCAGCGAACTACTTAAAAGTTTACTCATTTCTATGAAAGTCTACTTTAGGGGACCAAACGAAATTCTGAAATAAGACGTTTTTGGGATATAAAATATTACATAGATAGAACTACTTCATACTTCATAGTACACTTCTGCTCAACAGTTTTAAAGGAAACATTTGGAAAAGAGAAGCATGGTACTAAGTCTATTGACAACTTACAACAACTGACAAGTTATTACTCCATCCGGGCTTTATTATAAGGCACAATTGAGCAACAACATGATCCAAGCCATATTTCCAATAGATTTTGGGGTCGGCTAACATGAATTGATCCATTATAAGGCACCATTGAACATATTACAAAAATCAAATAATGTAGCTAAGGTTATTGAATTCCAAAAGATATATGATTTTCCAAATATACTCTTCTAAAGTAAACATCATAAATGGCTTTTAAAAAAACATGTACACAATATCAATAAGAGGCAAACCATGGAAAAAAAACAATGCCTTATAGAAATGATCATTCACGCCTTCTAAACGGTGCCTTATCATATGATGAGTAGAAAGAGTATTGTACATACATATCAGCAACTAACCTGATATGCCACCACCTTTTACGGTACACTTAATATCCCACATACCCAATGTTGTTGTTTCCGAAAAAGGACGGAGAAGGTTGGCCCTATGATCAAGCATTGGAAAATAGACATCAAACTCTTTATCATTTACCATAAATTTTCCATCACCAGGTTCAATCCAAACACGGGCTATACTGCATTTTCTCTTTCCTGTCCCATATGCCCTTCCCTTCTCATCCACTTGTCTTACTCTTGCCTTGGCAACTTCCTCTTGTTTTTGACGCTCAATTTCTGCTCTATTGGATTTTCTTGTGTTCCTTTCATAGCGCATATCTTCTATTTCGTGTAGAGGTGGCAATCCTTGAATGTCTTCAAGGTTTTTTAAAGTCAACAGACTATCTAGCATTTCTTCGGTGATTCCAGAAGCTGCAACTAAATCCCCAAATGCACGGTTTGGACCTGCAAGCAAATACATTTGGCACTAATAATACTCAATCCGAGAAAGGGAAACAGTAGATACTATGCTTCATTATGTTGGAAGTAATAAAAAATAGTCAAAGTAAAAAAGAAATGTTTACCCTTTCCCAGATTTCCCACCCAAAATATCTGATACTATTTCTATTAAATCTGAAGTGACTGTTTGCACTTGAAAAAAAAAATGAATATTGAAGCTGGCAGATGCATTTGTTCTAAACAAGTAACTAAGCAAACTAGTAGATATTCTACGGTACCCTTAAAACTCAAAGTGTTATGGTACTCTAAAATTGATATATTTTTATATTAAGTACAAATCAACTTTTTTTGGAGATATAAGCATGAAAATAAAGGACTCAACATTTAAAGTTTCTCCCTAGTCAAAATTACAACAAAAATCAACAATCACAAAAAAAAAACCATAACAAAAATCAACATCGTTTTGAATTATTTGAAATGGAGCCAAAGATTAGCAATTTTTTGGCTTGAGAATGTGATGGAATAAAGCAAAGTGGTTCACCAAACTGTCTGCGCTTCTTTATTATGAAGCAGCAGTCAATTCATGCAATTTTTGACACGATTTTCAGCATGGGTCATCCGGAAACCATCTTTGTGTGCTTTAGTACATGCATTGATCTAAAAATCGGGCTAGGCGCTCGCCTAGTCGCTAGGCGGTGGCCAAGCGCCCCGAATTTGGTGTAATCGGTCGAAAAAATCGGTCGGGCGCCTAGGCGGCCTAGGCGGCCGACTACGCGGGCGCCTGGGTGGGCTAGGCGGGCACTTGGGTGGGCTAGGCGGTGGCTAGGCGGTCTGAATTAAATTTTTCCCGAGCCAACTTTTTTTCCCGTTTTGACTTAAAACAACGTTGGATCAATAAGTATTCTATTCCTATATGATTTAGTTTCATATTACTATGATAATAAAATAATTTTGAAATATTTAAAAAAAATAGAATATATATGTGCATTTTTAGAGACAAAAATATAAATCTCTACATTCATCTATTAATTATTTTATTATTTATAATTTTTCTACAAAAAACATAATATATAATGATTATATGAGCTATTCCTGTTGTCAAAATATTATAAAATTTTTGGTAATATATTTAAAATTCAATGAAAATAAAAACAAAACAAAGAAATACAAGGAAAACACCTAGGCACCCTAGTCGGCGCCTAGGTGCCCGCCTAGGCGGGCTAGGCGCTAGGCGGCCCGTCAACACCCGACTAGCGCCTAGCGCCTTTTAGAAAACTGAGTACATGTGACCCCCCTTACCCTCACCTTAGGTGGAAGCCTTTGTGGCACTCGGGTAATGATGATGATGAACAAAAATCAACATCTCTCTGTGTTCTCATTAGGCAATGCACTTTCCACTATATTTTAAGATAACCTATGTCAACTGTTGTTTTAAGTTTCAGCGAGCCACGTCATAACATATGTAAGTCTTGCAATATTTAAGTCTTGAAGTGCCTACATTCTGAATCTTACATCAACTACATACACGGAATCTAAACAAATTGGGGTCTTTAATAATAATCACCTAAAAACATCTTTGGGGAAGAATTTTTTAAAAAACTAAAAAACCAACACAGCTTACTAGTGCAACTACCGAGGACAATCTTTTAAGAATGAAGCTAAAGTAATAACCTTTGAGAACAGCAGTGAGAGCTTTCTCTTCTATCTCGAGTCTCTTTTCCTCCTCTAGCTTTTCCTTCCGCAACCTTTCCTCCTCCTCTCCGTTAAAATCAACACCATCAAGCTTTTGTTCTTCTCCTATATCAAAGACCGTCTCACCAACATTATCCACAGCCACACTCCAGGGCTGGTACCCCGCTGCTGTGGCCCATTCTTCCTTCCCCTCCCCAACAGTGTCCTTACTTACTACCTCCCCGTGTCCTTTTTCATCTTCTGCCAAAATTCCGAACAGATTGTTGTTACTGTCCTCCTCCTCAATTGTCCACGGCCGGTGATCCTCTCTTAATCCACCGCTGGCAACCGCACTCCCCTTTTCCGGTACCTCTAAATCCCTAAAGAGGGGGCTTTCACCTCGTGGAGTTGTTTCTGATACATCTATTTCCTCCGAGAACACGGATTCAGTGTCGGAAGATAGCTTCCATGAATCAGAGGGCCCGTATGGAGAACCTCCGCCATTGTTGCCCCTGTCAGTGGAGAAAAATTGGAAATTCTTAAGGAATAAAAAGGAGGCAGGAGCAGTGATCGTGGGGCGAGTAGAACAGATATTCGATTTCAGGAAATGAGTATTGCTGGATATTTGGGTGAGGAATCGGAGATGAGATGATTTGCAGATGAAGCGATGGAGCATGGTTTGAGATTTGAATCGTCGTATGGGTTAGAAGCGTCAGAGTGGAAATGGAAAGGTTTACGGGGGTTTAGGCCAATAGGCCTACATACCAAAATGGCCCAAGTATAAATGAACAGAGGTAATGTGTGTGGGATTTGGATAATACACGTAGCACTCGGCTCCTTTCATAGCATAGCATGAAAATCCGTTGATTTGATTTTAATAAAAAATTATTTTAAAAATATATTTTAGCAATAAAATAAAGAAACAAATATATGTAAAAATAACTAAAATGATCATCTACACCAACTCCATCCAATACAGTCAGAAAAGTAACTTCATTCTTACTTTTTCTGTTTATTACACAATTCAACGCGCGAAAGAAAAAATTACGTGTTTGGTGAAAAAAATGATAAAAAGGTAACCCCAACTTACTTTTTTTATTATTGGGAAAACTGTCAAATAGGTCCACGTACTTTTAACAAAAAGTCAATTAAATCTATGTACTTTTTTTGAGTCAATTAAGTCCGCAAACTATCAAAAAATGTCCAAATTAGATTTTTTATAGGTAGCCCACGGGTTACCCGGTTGAACGCCTACGTGGACGTTTGAGCTGGCATTTTTTAGTGTTTTCTAATTTTTTTTATTTTTATTTTCCTTTTCTTTTTCTCTTTTTCCCTTTCTCTCTTCCTTTTTTCTCTTTTATCTCTGCCTGCTTCTTTCTTCTTGGTCCGCTCCTCTCCTTTCCCAGCCGGCCATCCTCTTCTCCTCTCCCAGTAAGGCAGTCCCCTCTTCTCCTCTCCCAGTCCGGCAGTTCCCGGCTCTCCACCATAACTCCGACTACGCCGCCACTCCCACGGGAACAAACTCTGCCGCCCATTCCTCTCCGGCCACCACCTCCGCCGTCCACCCTCCATAGCCACCACCTCTGGAGTACGACCTCCACCTTTACCTCAACCGCCCCTTCCTCCGTAAACACCGCCTCCGGCCACCGCCTCCGTGGCCTTCCCCTTCGCCTCCTCCATTGAAGCAACCTCCAACCGCGCATAGCCGCCGCCCTGAGCCCCTGACCACCGTACCCACAACTTCCTGCTTCCACATCCATGGTCTCCACCTCCGCCTCTTCCATCGGACGACCTCCAACCACCCCAACATCCATAGCCACCACTGCTACCTCCATAGATCTGTAGTTGCAGACGAAGGAAGGGAACAAAGAGATGGAGGGGTTGTAGATGCAGAAGAGGAAGGAAGGGAACAGAGAGATGGAGGGGTTGCAGACGCGCGCAGAAGAGGAGCGGACCAGATGAAGAAAGAGAAAAAAAAGAGAAAAAAGGAAAAGAGAAAGGAAAAAAGGTAAAAGGAAAGAAAAATAAAAAAAATGGAAAAAAGTAAAAAAAAAAAATGTCAGCTCGGACGTCCACGTAGGCGTTTACTGGGTAACCTGTTGGATACCTATAAAAAAGCCGATTTGGTCATCTTTTGATGGGAAAAGGTGCAAATAGGCCCATGTACTAACAAAAAAAGGTCAAATAAGCCCTTATTTAGGAGGCTCTGTCCGGCCGTCGTCATTTGGGGTGGTTTCCTGTGGGATTTTTTGATGAAATTTTTTGAGCATCTTATTCATCAAGTCTAGTTTACTTATACCAAATTTCAGCTAAAACTTTAATCGGGAAGGCATTCAAATGAATTCTTGAAGAAAACTGTGCTTCTAACTGTGCAGTTATATTCAAGAATTCATTTGAATGCTTTCCCGATTGAAGTTTTAGCTGAAATTTTGTATGAGTAAACTAGACTTCATGAATAAGATGTTAAAAAAATTCATCAAAAAATTCCACCGGGAACCACTCCAAATGGCGACGGCCGGATAGAACCTCCTAAACAAGGGCTTATTTGTCCTTTTTTTGTTAGTACATGGACCTATTTGCACCTTTTCCCTTTTTTGATAGTTAGCGAATTTAATTGATTCGAAAAAAAGTATATGGACTCAATTGACTTTTTGTTAAAAGTACGTGGATCTACTTGATAGTTTTCCCTTTATTATTACACAATTCAGGGCACCAAATCCAAAGTTACATATTTGGTGAAAAAGCTGACTAATAAGCTTGATATGTAAAAAAAGCGCCACCAATCGGACTCTAATGATGTTTTCTTTTGGACTGTTTCCGGTTCCAAACCAAATCAGATCAGACCAAACTTCTGTAGTTATAAAATACACAGAAATCAGACGTTTATTAGACCATACCAGTTCAGATCAGATTAGACTAGATCCAATCAAACCCGATCAAATCAAATCATACCAACAAATTCCAATCCAAAAGGAAAACATCTAAGACATGTAGAGATTTCCCAAAAAATAGGTAGGGAGGGAGAATGGAGACGACCACCGAGCTCCCATGGGACCTAATCGTGCAGATCCTTTGCCGATTACCTCCGAAAGATCTGCTGCGCTACATGTGCGTATCCAAGTCATGGTGCTCCCTTATCAACGGCCCTGATTTCATCAATCTACACCTCAAGCACACTCCGGAATTTCCTTCCCAATTCGGGTTCGTGTTCGGAGACAACAAAGATCTCTACTGGACTGCCTCGAACGACCTCGACTCTTTCGTTCGACTCACTTGCCCAATAGACTTAGGAACTGGGGTCAGCGTTCTCGGAAGCTGCAATGGATTGCTTGCTGTTATGAACCGCAATTCGGATATGGCGATTTGGAACCCTTTCAGTCGAAGGTACATCAATTTACCTGTCTCTGATCATTTCCAGTCTATTCCCGAGCATGAAATCCATGTTTTTCTCGCCGGATTTGGACACGACCCGGTCACTGACGACTATAAGTTGATCATATTAATCGACCCTAATGAGCGTTTAACTGATACTATTCACGGTGAGGTCAAGCTTTATAGTGTAAACGACAAATCGTGGAAAAAAAATTGATGATTTCCCAAAACACTTTGATTACAATCGTTTCAATGGTGTCCTTTGTGGCAATGCTTTGCACTGGCTGGTAAGTTCCAGGCGTGATGATTCTTGGTTGATTTTGGCCTTTGATCTTGTTACTGAATTTGCCCGGGAGATTCAGCTTCCTGAAAACCATTGTACTCCTCTGCAGCTTGTGAATCTAGAAGGTTCACTTTGTGCTTTAATCTTAAATGTTAGAATTTCATGTTTTGAGGTGTGGGAGATGAAGGAATATGGGGTCAAGGAATCTTGGGCTATATTGTCTCCTCTTCCACCCCCCTTGTACGAATTCCCGTTTTTCAAGAATGGTTATCATGTCTTGTTTCATAGCTGTAAAAACCTATTCCTCTATGATATCAAAACAGAGGTTTTTTACCTAAGGGAGACCGCAGGTTCAGATTTTCCCAGAATTTGTCATGCCCTTGTTTGTGTTAAGAGCCTGGTGGGACTTCAATTTAGAGAAAGTACTTCAAATGGGAAGGAGCACGCTGCTACACAGTGAGATGATTTCCTATCCAAGGGATAAAAAGAGATGATTTCCTATCGAAGGGATTTAAATTGGGTTTATAAAGTGAAGCAAGGCAACAAAAGCTCCCATTTTGGTTACAGGAATAGAGCTGAGTATTCTGGGATATTCAAACATGGATCAAATGAATCATGATGAAATTCGAACATTTTGCTACTGATAGTGATTTGTTTTGACATTAGTTATAGTTTATGTTCCCCTGATGACTCTTGTCTGTCGCTGTTTGCATAAGTTTGTTGTCAAGATTTTGTGGGAGTAGAAATGCTTTTGAAAAACAAAGGAGAAGTGGAGAACTTGAAGTTGCACTCTATTTTTGGGTGACAACTGACAAGTAGTATTTGACTTTTACCATATTTTCAAAATCATTAATGTATTTATTTCAAGTAATTATAAAATCGTTTGAATTTGCATTTCATTTTTTCACAAGTTTTGGATTAATGTGGTACACACATTAATGTTTGGGAAATTCTATGTGGCCCTAATTAAAATTAATTAATTATATATAAATTTGGATAATATAAGGTGAATGAAGTACTCTGTATATGTGTAGTTTAGTTTGCAGGAGGTCCTTTTGATCTGGTTAGAGGAACAAGATAGTTGGCTTGGGTGGGGTAAATATGGATAGGAGATGGTGATCAGAATGAGTACGCAGGTATGGAGCAGATTTTTTTTTAGTGCAAATCAAAGACAACAGGGATATAATAGACAAATTGTTTACATTTAATTAATTAATTTTAATTAGGGCTGTGCTTGGTAAAATTGGGGTTGCATTTAGGGTGCGATGTTTTTAATATGGGTTGCAAGATCCAATATCCTTTAAAATATCAGATACGTAGTCAAATTTTCCAAAAAATAATACCTAAATTCATTGTGAAAGATGGATGATGACAATGGCGACTGCTAACTTCTCCAGACCGACTACTGCGAGGATTTGTATAGAGCTTGATGTGTCCAAAAAATTGCCCCAAAAATTTGGATTGACAATTGCGATTTAGGCTTTTTTCAGTCAGTTCATTATGAAAAAATGCCAACTTTTTGCAATCTGTGCTCCCGGTTTGACCACTACGACACAAATTGCCCCCGGGCAATGTAAAACATGGAACCAACACCAATGATGCAGCAGCTTGCTGAGGTTAAGTGTACTAAGGTTAAAACTAATACTGCTCCTGCTAAGATATCTGCTGCCAATGTTGATGATTTGTTTACCAAGTGTGTTAATACTTCCATTAATTGTGATCCAGTTGTTGCTGGTATCAGTGATACTACCGCTGCTACTTTGGTTATTGCTGATGCTTATGTTCCCGTTGTTACTTATATCTCTGATGATTCTGTTCCTCTGATAGTTTCCGATGCTTGTGCTACAGCTTCTGTTGCTTGTGCCTATGTAGATGCTGCTGGTGTCGCTGGTAGCCCAGCCAGTGGCGCCCCATCTGCAAATTTGGATGCCTTGAATTTGGTTGCAAGTGCCCGAGTTGAAGCTCAGGTTGCTGGTGTTACTGGTAGCAAAACCAGTGTTGCCCGATCTGTTTTTTTAGATGCCTTGAATGCCAATGCTGATATCTCTTTGCTTGCTAGTGGTCCTGTGGAAGCTGATGTTGCTGGTGGCACTGGTAGCACAACCAGTGTTGCCCCATCTGCTTTTCCTGATGCCCTCAATGCAAATGTTGAATTGTTTGCAAACAGCCCTGTGAAAGCTGATGTTGCTGGTGACACTGGTACCACAACCAGTGCTGCCCCATCTGCTAATTTTGATGCTTTGAATGTTAATGCTGAGTTCTCTTTGCTTGCTAGTCATTTAAATAAAGTAGTACTACTTGGTAATGTTTATCAACACAAGAGGCACATTAAAAGAAATGTCCAATATACTATTTCCGTTCTCTTTTAATTGCAACATTGAACTTTTTACACTATTCACATATTCTACTTTGATTATATTTTATTTATTAATGTATTATAAACTAAATTTTTAAAAAATATTTTTAAATTCTTCTCATTTTAAATTTTCAAAATCTGAATTTTTTAATTTTTTTAATAATAAGGAATGAAAGATATCAATGGTCAAACATGTGCATTTAGTGATGGACCCAGGCCGGGTCGGGCCTAGGCCCGGCCGGGCCTCGGGTCAGGTAGAGGTAGGCCCGGGACCGGCCCGGGCTATGGCCGGTTCCGGTTTGGGCCAGGCCACCCGCCCGGGTCACGGGTCGGGCCACCCGCCGGGCCGGGCCGGGTCATAATTTTTTTTAATTATTATAGAATATACAAATTCTTATTAAAAACAAAGTTGAAGTGCATTTATTTGAAATAAGAACTACATTTGAGAATTGAGAAAAAACAACAATATGAAATACATTTTCTAATTAATATCAATTGGGATTTCCGCCACCGTTGGTTATTGTTTTTCCTTTGTCACAGGACTTCATATGTTTTGTTGCCATCCCGTATCCGTGTGAACGCCCCAAGTTACATTCTTTCTCGCACCACTTGCAAGTTGCTCACCACAGTCCGGTCTTCAGGTCCTTCCACTTATCAAAATTGTTTTGCATAAGGGAAGATGTACTTTTCATCTTTAAAATGGTAGATGTATAAGTAGGAATGTAGGATAATAAGAGAAGATGAAGATGGAGAAGAGTTGGAGAAGAGGTGTAGAAAAATGTTAGAAAATAGCTGTATTTATAGATGTTTTTGAACCCCTCTCCCCACACCACCACCACCTGGGACCCCCTGCCCCCCACCCAAAGCCCCAACGGCTATATAGCCGTTTGGGAGCTGTTTTTTTTGTTTTTTTTTAATTTTTTTTTTAAAATTATACATATTGTAAAATAAGTTAATTAATTTAATAAATTAAGTAAAGCTATTTTTACTTAGAAAAGTGGTTTGGTTTATAATTTACAAATGTTACAAAATAGGTGTATAAGTATTTAAACAAATTACATATTGTAAATGTATTTTTAATTTTAAAACAACCTTTAGATTTTAGAAAAATAATTTTAAGTTGTAAGTTTGCAACCAATTAATTAATTTGGAAATACTACTTATGAAAAAATGAACACATATTTATTTGAAATATGAAGTACAAGTTTACAGATTAATTTGAAGTACAAGTACAAATTTACAGCTTTGAAATATGAAGGCATGAATTACAAGTCTACAATTTTGAAATTTGAAGTACAAGTACAAATTGATTTTAGAAGTGCTACAAAATACATTTTATAATAATTTCTAAAATACTAATCAATCGAAATCTCCGACATAGGTAGAGCCACCATCGGTTGTTGAGTCATCCATAAATTCTTGTGAGAGGGTGATGCTCATTTCTTGAATTCTACGTGCGGCCTTCAACCAGTCGTGGTAGCATATAAGCGTCTCAAGAGAATTAACTCCTTAACCAATGATTCTACGTGCGGCCTTCAACCAATGATTGAACTCCTTAAATAAAATGTTAAGTACTTTAATTAAACGATTGAACTATTATTTTTTCATTCAAATATAAATTGAAACTAGTATAATGTGACTTTAATTATAATGACAATTAACTAGTTTTTTGAAGTAGAGTTGTTTTAGCAATTAATGGGAATACTAATTAACTAATTAACTAGTATAATGAAAAATGTAACAAGAATACTAATTAACTAGTATAATGAAAAATGTAACAATTAGTGGGAATACTAATTAACTAATCAAGTATTCAAGTATTGTTAATAAAAAATGTAATATTAAGTAGAGAAGTAGATATTATTATGTATTAAGTATATACTAATAGTTTATAGTGTGTGTGTGTGTGTGTGTGTGTGTGTGTGTGTGTGTGTGTGTGTGTGTGTGTGTGTGTGTGTGTGTGTGTGTGTGTGTGTGTGTGTGTGTGTGTGTGTGTGTGTGTGTGTGTGTGTGTGTGTGTGTGTGTGTGTGTGTGTGTGTGTGTGTGTGTGTGTGTGTGTGTGTGTGTGTGTGTGTGTGTGTGTGTGTGTGTGTGTGTGTGTGTGTGTGTGTGTGTGTGTGTGTGTGTGTGTGTGTGTGTGTGTGTGTGTGTGTGTGTGTGTGTGTGTGTGTGTGTGTGTGTGTGTGTGTGTGTGTGTGTGTGTGTGTGTGTGTGTGTGTGTGTGTGTGTGTGTGTGTGTGTGTGTGTGTGTGTGTGTGTGTGTGTGTGTGTGTGTGTGTGTGTGTGTGTGTGTGTGTGTGTGTGTGTGTGTGTGTGTGTGTGTGTGTGTGTGTGTGTGTGTGTGTGTGTGTGTGTGTGTGTGTGTGTGTGTGTGTGTGTGTGTGTGTGTGTGTGTGTGTGTGTGTGTGTGTGTGTGTGTGTGTGTGTGTGTGTGTGTGTGTGTGTGTGTGTGTGTGTGTGTGTGTGTGTGTGTGTGTGTGTGTGTGTGTGTGTGTGTGTGTGTGTGTGTGTGTGTGTGTGTGTGTGTGTGTGTGTGTGTGTGTGTGTGTGTGTGTGTGTGTGTGTGTGTGTGTGTGTGTGTGTGTGTGTGTGTGTGTGTGTGTGTGTGTGTGTGTGTGTGTGTGTGTGTGTGTGTGTGTGTGTGTGTGTGTGTGTGTGTGTGTGTGTGTGTGTGTGTGTGTGTGTGTGTGTGTGTGTGTGTGTGTGTGTGTGTGTGTGTGTGTGTGTGTGTGTGTGTGTGTGTGTGTGTGTGTGTGTGTGTGTGTGTGTGTGTGTGTGTGTGTGTGTGTGTGTGTGTGTGTGTGTGTGTGTGTGTGTGTGTGTGTGTGTGTGTGTGTGTGTGTGTGTGTGTGTGTGTGTGTGTGTGTGTGTGTGTGTGTGTGTGTGTGTGTGTGCGCGCGCGCGCTAATTACCCCGCACCTCTTCAAACAACCGACTTCTTTTGCAGGTCTTCCAGCAGTTTCCTTCACACAGGAGGAAATCATCTCACTCTCTCAGCCTTTAAACCGTGCTCTAATTGGTGTGTGTGTGTGTGTGTGTGTGTGCTAATTAACCCGCACCTCTTCAAACAACCGACTTCTTTTGCAGGTCTTCCAGCAGTTTCCTTCACACAGGAGGAAATCATCTCACTCTCTCAGCCTTTAAACCGTGCTCTAATTGGGACTTTTCTTCACGGAATACCCAAACTGGCCGCAGTTAGAGGTACACTCGAGAAACTAAGGTTCAAAGGGAGCTTTACGCTTGGACCTCTTGCCCCAAGAAACGTTCTTATTACTTTTGACAAAGAAGAAGACTACTTACGGCTATGGCTGAAACAGACATGGTTAGTCAATGGGATTGTCCTAAGAATCACTAAATGGACCACAAACTTTCAACCAGGAAAGGAATCCCCCATCACACCAACGTGGATCAACCTCCCTGGATTACCGGTTCACCTACAAGACAGAATAGCTCTTCTGTCTATCGCTAACATCATTGGCAAACCTCTACTACTTGACCCAGGTACGGCCTCCCTTTCCAGACCATCTTTGGCCCGAATTTGTGTGGAGCTTGATGTTACCACAGAGCGCACACACAAAATTTGGATTCAAACAGGAAGCACAGGATTTGCACAGGAAGTAACTTATGATTTCGTTGAGCCCTACTGTTTTTCATGCTTTTTACTGGGACATTCTACATGCAATAAGGGTAAAAAAATTATGAGTCAGGTAGATGTAATTCATCCAATCATCCATGAAACCTCTTCTGAACCAAACCCTATTCCCAAAACGCTCAAGATCTCGCATCAGACCAAACCACCTGTCAACCCTACTGACTACCCAACTACAAAATCCCCACTTTCTCTAATCCAGACAAACATCAATACCCAGGCACCATGTGAATCGGTGACAGAAGCCCCCACCAAAACCAATTCACCTGACACCCTCTCACACCAAGACATCCTTACCGTCCATCCCTCACCTGTTCCTTTATTTCCACCCCTCAACACAAAACCCCGCACCCTCCCGGAAAATCTACCAATTATTAACCGAGATCCTTCAAGCCCAACTGCCTCAAGCCCGAAACCCTCCTCTCTTATTGTGGATCCCATTTTGACACCTCTCACCAATACTCTAGTCATACAGCCCACCCTCACCCAACTCCAAACTAAACCCAATTCGGACTTACCATCTACACCTGTTATCTCCCATCTACCTGATCCTACCCCTATTCGCATAATCACCCCAGTAGGTGTGCCGGGCTTGAGCACACATTCCGGACCTCCTGTCCATATTGACCCGGATCCTAGCACAACTATTTTGGTTATTGAAGATGGTTATTGCTCAGGGGGTGATACCCCAATTTCCAAAAAAGAGGACTTCGCACATTTTGCGGAAATCCTTCACAATAAATTCGTTACAATCTCTAACACCCCAAATGGTTCAGATGCAATTGTTAAGACGGCCTCGAAGAGAGTTACGAAGAAACTACCCTCTACCCCTTTATCACCCAGGATGACTCGATCTAAATTGATTAAGGAAGCCAATGGGCTTCATACACCCACCGTCTGATGATTTTGCTAAATTGGAACACGTGTGGTCTATTATCTTCTTTTGATAGACTACAAAGTATGATAGCTCAATGGAAATCATCTTTTATCTCAATCATTGAACCTATGGTCACTTTAGATAAAGCAATTTATTACAAAAATCTCTTGGGATTTTCTGATGTGTTTGCTAAATCCGATAACAAAATTTGGATTTTCTGGAAAGAAGAATCATTTGAAGTTACGGACATCTCAGAATTTGACCAGTTCGTACATGTAAAGATCAAAGATCTGTCATCAGGCGTAACATTCTGGTTATCTACAATCTATGGAAAACACACAAGGAGGGAAAGACAGACTCTATGGACCGATTTGAGAAATTGGAAACAGTCCAACAGTGATCCCTGGCTAATCGGGGGAGACTTTAACGTGGTAGCATCCCTCAGCGAATTTATAGGTAAAACAACACCCAAACTCTCTGAAATTAACGATTTTACAGAGTGTACGGTCGATTGTGATCTGCAGGATCTTAATTTCACTGGTTGTAAATTCACTTGGACTGGGGTTCGATCAACAGGTCGTTTATGGAGAAGATTGGACAGATTCTTAGCTAATCCACAATTCTCCAATCTTTTTGACTCAATTTTTGAAAGACATCTCAGTAGAGCCTCCTCAGACCACACCCCCATCATAATTTCAGCCTCACTGTCTCCCCTTTCAGGCCCCAAACCATTCCGTTTTCAGGATATGTGGGCCAGCCACCACTCATTTCTAGACTTGGTCTCGAGCACTTGGATTTCACTAAGCTCTGGAGGTGGAATGCGCCCATTTTATAATAAACTGCAGGCCACTAAACGGGCCTTGAAAAAATGGAACAAGTCTACCTTTGGTGATATATTTCAAGAGGTCATAAATGCGGAAACTAAGGCACATTTGATAGAAGAAGAATACATCACCAACCCCAACCCTGAAACCAGAACAAATTGGTCCAACGCACAAGCCCAACTCCTACTTAAACTAAAGCAAGAGGAGATCTACTGGAAACAAAAAGCAAATATCAAGTGGCTAGCCGAGGGTGACGCCAACACAAGATTCTACCACAACTACGTCAAACACAAACGGTGGAAACAAAAAGTTTTGTCTATAGATGATGTTCAAGATAATCCTCTGGACAAGCCAGAAGACATTGCCAGGGCGGCAGTCAACCATTTCCGGGACTTATACTCAGCTGCCCCGGGGGATGACCTTTGTGTAGAGTATTTGTTAGAACTACTTAATCATATTGTCACTACAGAAGACAACTCTTTCCTTTCATCCCTCCCGACAAACAAAGAAATAAAGGACACAGTCTGGTCACTCAATAAGGACAGTTGCCCCGGACCAGATGGGTTTAATGGTACCTTTTTTCGTACATGCTGGGAGATAATAGAAATTGATATGTGCTCAGCGATTAGAGAATTTTTCTTGGGTATTACCATGCCTACTGCTCTATCTGCCTCCCTCATAACCCTGATCCCGAAGGTCCAAAACCCAAACAACTTCTCCCAATTTAGACCGATTAGCCTAACCAATTTTACCAACAAAGTTTGTTCTAAAATTTTAGCTAATCGACTAAAGCCCCTCCTACCTAAACTGATCTCTAAGGAACAAATAGGTTTTATGGAGGGAGAGGACATTCACAGGCACATCCTCATGGCCTCAGAGGTCCTTCATCACTTGGAACACAAAACAAGAGGGGGTAATATTGCCATTAAGCTTGATCTTTCTCAGGCCTTCGATAGGGTGTCTTGGGAGTTCCTAGAGGCGGTTTTGACTAAGATGGGATTCGACTACAGGTTTACCCGGCTTATCCTTAATAACCTAGCTTCCAACAACATCTCCATCCTTCTTAATGGTCAAGCTCATGGCTTTTTCAAGCCACAGAGGGGGGTCAAGCAGGGGGACCCCCTATCACCATATCTTTTTCTACTCGTTATCGAGTGTTTTACTAAAGGTTTACAAAATCTCATTGACACAAATCAAATCAGTCCCTACATAATTGGTGGTAAACCAAGCCCGGTTGCCCAACTTGGATACGCCGATGACCTGCTGCTATTCTTGAATGGTTCCACATCTTCACTCAAATGTCTCGCAACATTCCTGGACAACTTCACAAAAGCGACAGGTCAGTTTATCAACCTCAACAAAAGCAGCATTCTGGTTGGAACAAAAATTACTACTGCCAACAAAAAAAGAATGGAACGTGAAACGGGTATGACATCAACAATGCTTCCAGTAACTTACTTGGGGTCAGTCATACATAGGGGAATAACCAGAACTGAACACTGTCTTGAGATCATCAAAACCTTTGAATCCAGGCTCCTTACCTGGAACAAAAAGCAATTGAGCCAAAGTGGGAGGCTAATTTTAATCAAGCACGTTCTGTCTTCCATACCCTTGCACCATTTAGCAGTCACTAAATTCCCAATCAAAGTTATCCAAATCCTACATAGGCTCATGGCTAACTTTTTCTGGGGCTACTCGGGTGCAAAAACTAAATATCATTGGAAGAGCTGGTCACACATTTGTAGACCGGGGAATGAGGGTGGTTTAAATGTCAGATCCCTCTATGATATTCAAAAGGCAATGCAACTCAAAATTTGGTGGACCTATACACAAAATACTTCAGTTTGGGCTAAGTACATGCACAAAAGATACCACAGAGCAGGATTCATGATTTCTAAACCTTCAGACTCTAGTGTATGGAAGCAAATCTGCATTACATCCCACACCTATCCTGACTCCATCCAACAAAATGGGTCCCAACCCATTTGGAATCCTGAAAAGGATGGTCACTTCACCATGTCAAGTGCTTTCCACCTCTCCCGCACACATCACCCAACGTCATTCAGTCTTACACAAACCTGGTTTCCCCTACAACAACTTAAAATCAAACTTTTTGTTTGGAAATACCTTAATCAATGCCTACCCTTCCCTGACAACCTACAACGCTTCCAAATTCCCCTTGCAACCAGATGCCCATTCTGTCATAACAGCCCACAAACAACCAACCACTGTCTATTCAGTTGTACTAACATCAAGTCAATTTGGTTTTATTTTTCTTCTATTTTGCAGGTGAGAACTACAGAACACAACGAACTTAGACAAACTCTGTTTGTATGGTGGATGGGGGGCAAAGAAGGTAACACAAGGGATACTATCAGACAGGCACTACCAGGCATCATTCTCTGGCACATTTGGAAGGCCTACAATGCATATATCTGGGACGGTAAACAATTTTCAAAGAGTCAAACAATATCCCAGATTAAAGATTACACAACGAAATGGATCTACGCCAATCAACACAAATCATGCATCAATTTTGACAAAGAAATACACTCAGATGGCCTAATGCCTATCATCCACAAAAAAAAATCAAAGTCTCAGTTTCTAAAGTGGAAGACGAGCTCACCTCCCCAGTTGATCCTCAACACTGACGCAGCATTCAGAAACGCGAAAAGTGCAGGAGGAGCTATCTTGAGAAATGAGTTGGGGATCCTACAGCGAGCCTATGCCTTCCCACTGACAGCTTCAAACCCACTACACGCTGAAACGTTGGCTTCAATCTCCTCCATACACACATTAATTACTCAGGGTTACACATCATTCAAAGTTCATACAGACTCGGAGATATTGGTCAAAACTATCAACGGCTTTGCTACAATACCTGATTATCTCAAATCGGCGATACGGACCTTATACTGGCTGAGAACGGCTCACAACCTTTCAATCTCCTACCGTCCGAGAGAAACGAACAGGGTTGCCCACCATCTCGCTCAATTAGGTCTCACCTCAGACAACCTTCAAACATTTACAGCGGATGATCTTCCTCCCAGAGCCAAAAGAGCGTATAATGAAGACAGGGCTGGAGTGGCTTACTTCAGAGACGCTGGTTGAATGGACGGAATCACTCTTCTCCGCCGGCACTAATTCTCTTTTTTTGGACGCTAGTTTTCTCTACATGGACCCCAGGAACCATTTCGCAGCCCATTTTGACCATTTTAAAATTGTCCATTTTATGTTTTCACAGGGAAACGCATTTAGATTCCTTCAGCGAACAACTTCGGTTCTGCACATTCTGTAATTGTCATCCATTTTCAATAAAATTTTGGTAAATGTTACCCGACATTTATCACACCCAACTCTGGGTGGTTCTCGGGCAAAAAAAAAAGTAGATAATTAATACGTAGTATATAAGTACATATAATAATTGTATAAGTATTAAATAGTAAAATAAAATATAATGGAGAATAAGAGAATTTGAGAATATGGAGATGAGTAAAGAGTAGAGAGTAGGAACGTAGGATTTAGAAAAGGTTAGAGAAGAGGTGTGGAAAAATGTTTAAAATTAGGAGTATTTATAGGTTTTTTTAACCCCCCCATCCCCCCCCCCATCCACCCACCCCCAAAATCCCCCCCCCCCCCCCCCGGTACCCACCCAATGGCTATATAGCCGTTTGGGAAGTGGGTCAACAGCCCAAAAGGGTGTTTTAAAAAGAAAAGATTTTTTTTTTAAATTGTGACTGTTAGGCCTGACCCGGCCGGACCAGGTCGCCAAAACATAGCCCCGAGCCCGGACCCGCCACCCCCACCGGTTCGGTGCTCAAACCGGACCCAGACCCGAGAACCGGGCCGGTTCCGGGCCCGCACAGTAGCGGGCCGGTCCCGGGCCCGCACAGTAGCGGGTCGGTCCCGCGCCGGGCGACCCGAACCGGGTCCATGACTGTGTGCATTGACAAGCGTGAAAAGTTGACCGATGCAATTAAAAAGGAATGAAGGAAGTATAATGTTGAGTTGTTGACTTATTAAATATTATCTTCATGTCAGTTAATGTTAAAACATGCAACCTAACTATGTATAAATAATATAATCCCTTTGTTGCCTTAATGTATATAAATAGACTACAATCCTGGGCACTCATATCATTTCACGGCACAAGATCACCAAAATTGTAGAGATGGACCACTTTCGCGGAATTGTGTGTAAATGGATCCTTCACACAGTTACAAGTGCTTTTTGAATACCAACAACGAGCTGAGCTAGGCTGAAAGTGTTGGGTACAAGTCAGATTAAAAGAAACCGACGGATTGGAGATAAAAATCATCACACTTTTTTATTTTGATGTGAAATTTTTTCTCTATGTCAAAAGAGTAGTATTGGCCGGAGATACTCTAAGGAGGAAAGTGAGTAAAGTTATTGACCTAAATATGAGCAAAACATTAAAAAAAAATCCAAGATAAGAGTTTATTTGTTCTTTAAATAGGAGTGAGTTAGTCAGTTTTTCTATTATGTGCCTCCCTAATCGCCGTGTTTATCAAGTCTGGATCTGAACTCTCTCTCATCTTCCTTCTCTCCTCTCGATCTCATCTCCCCTCTTGCATCTATAATCAGTAAATACAGTTTTGAGTTTTGACGCCTCCATTTTCTTCTTTCCATTATTAATAACTTCAATTTTAATTTATCTATCTCGATATCCCTCATCTCTAGCGACTTCTAAAAGTATAGAGATAATTACTCTGGGTATGACTAAAATTCTATAAGTTTCCTAATCTATGACCTATCAAGTTTTTCTCTCAAAATAATATTAAAATGGCTAATATTTAATTTAAATTCGTAATAAATAAATAAATAATATTTATGGACAACTATACCCTTTAGGTTGTACCTATAAAACCCTAGCCTCCTATTCTTTTTTTCAACCCTATCTAGTTATGCCTCTCCCACTGCCCACCCGTGCAGTCGCCCACCAACGCAGCCACCCACCCTCACAACCGGTCGCCGTCCAACTGCCGTCTGGCGTCCGGCGGCACCACCTTCCATCGATGTTTGACCTGGGAGCAAAGTCGTTGACCCGGGAAACATTCTAGTTTGTACCGTTAGGAGCCTTCGCTATTACGGAGTATCTTTTTGAATAATTGGGAGGCATGTTTCGGTCAATCAGTTTTAAAGCTTGTGGTGAAGAATGAACAGTTCAATTTAATTTTGGATGTTTTTAACTTTTTTGATTTAGGGATGGGATGAGTAGTGATTATATTATACTAGACTCAATGAAATAAGGAATATTGTTTATGATGGGCAAATCTAGAAATTTGCGTAGGGATGGGATGAATTGTTGGGATTGGAAAATTCTTCTATTCAATATCAAGAACAGAATTACAATAGGAGGAGCAAACTCTCACACTCAACCAATACAAAAAACCAATCCTCACCAATACACTTCTACTCTAAGTGTATTTCACTCTTCACACACTTTTCTCACTTTCTAAACTGATGATATGAACAACAATAGAACACTCTATTTATAGGCTGGTTTGGAGACAAGAGAAAGTTGCATCCAAGCTTCCATAGTTATCTCCATATCTTCACCATGTTCATATGTTGGAGACCTCCTTCCAAGAAGGTGTGAGATGCCTCTTGGCAACTTCCAAGAAAGAAGGTGGAAGAATCCTACAAATCTCCCCCTCCACCTTTTTCTTTATTTCTCTCGTACCTGCGATGCTTGTTGGCTCCCCCTCGCTGGCAACAAGTATCCATTCGGATGTGGAATACTTTCTCTGTGGAACTATGCCTCGCATAGAACGTTGAACATGAGTACCTTCAGCTTCGTCTTCAGATGAAGGCTCCCCCTGCTGAGGAATATCATCACTGTGAGTATCATCATCACCTACTGAACCATCACTCTCTTGTTCAGTAGTATCATGCATCTCCTCATCGCTGAGATGAATGTTTGATGATACAGGCACTTCGTCTTCTGGAGTATGTTGTTGGCGGATTATTGGAACACACCCATGAAACTCGTTTTCATGAAATACAACATCTCTGCTTCGTACAACTTTCTTCAATTTAGGATCCCACAACCGGTATCCGAATTCTTCCTCACCATACTCGATGAAGATGCATGGGTTTGACTTGAGATCAAGCTTATGTCTCAACTCCTTGGACACATGTGCAAATGCCTTGCACCCGAACACTTTCAAGTGAGAGTAAGAAACATCTCTTCTTGACCATTTCTTTTCTGGCACTTCAAAGTTTAAAGAAACAGAAGGTGACCTGTTTATAAGATAACAAGCTGTCAGCACAGTTTCACCCCAGAATGGCTTAGGTAGTTTAGCCATGCATACTCAGCATGCAACGAACTTTCTCCATAATGGTCCGATTCATTCTTTCAGCTACACCATTGTGTTGCGGAGTTCGTGGAACCGTCTTCTCATGTCTGATTCCATATGCGGCGCAATATGCTGAGAACTCTCGAGAAGTGTACTCTCCTCCATTGTCTGAACGAAGACACTTCAGCTTCTTCCTTGTTTCTCTTTCTACCATGGCATGAAATAATTTGAAGCGATCAAACACTTGATCCTTACTCTTCAAACAATAAGCCCATACCTTTCGTGATGCATCATCAATGAATGTCACGAAATATCTGCTTCCTCCAAGTGACTCCTCTTCAATGGGTCCGCATACATCAGAGTGTACAAGACTGAGTAACTCTGAATGGTTCTTCCTGGTAGAATTGAAGGAAACCCTATGTTGTTTCCCGAATAGACAGTGTTCGCATGGATCTAGGGCAACACCTTTGCCCATGGAAATGACTTCCTTCTTTGCAAGAGTTGTCAATCCCTTCACGCTCAAGTGGCCTAGCCTCCGGTGCCACAAGTTTGGTGATATCTCTTCTTCAACAGTATTAAGACTTGGATGACACAACTTTGCATGAGTTTTATAAAGAGTACCACAAATATGGCCTCTTGCAACAACCAAGGAACCTTTAGATAACTTCCACGTACCTTCATTGAATCGGTTAAGATATCCTTGCTGATCCAAAGCTGTACCGGAGATAAGATTCAATCTAAGATCCGGAACATGTCGAACATCTTTCAACACAAGTGCGCATCCGACATTGGTTGTTATGTGCACATCACCTATGCCAACAATCTTCGAGAAACTCGTGTTTCCCATCTTCACAGCTCCAAAGTCTCCTGACTTATAAGATGTGAATAAGTTCTGATGTGGAGTAGCGTGAAATGATGCGGCTGTATCAATCACCCACTCAACATCATGAGTACCTACGTGTAAACATTCTTGTTCACCATGTGTAACAAGACACACGTCTGATGACAAACTAACCATGGTCTCACCGTCTTCTTGGCTAGTATTTTGACTCGTCTGTGGCTGCTCTTGTAGAAACTTTCTACAATCTCTTTTTCTATGCCCATAATTACCACAATAGTTGCAATATCCTTCAAACCAAGTATTGTTTTCACAGGACATACCTCGTTCTTGTGATCGGCCGCGAACTTGAGAATTTCCTCTGTTTTGACCTTGGCCTCTACCTCGACCTCGACTTCTTCCTCCATTTCTGCCTCCCCCTCGTCTGCTGGTTTCTGACACAAAGGCATATGATTGTTCAGTCCCGGCTTCTTTTCTTCGGGCTTCTTCGTTCATAAGGGCATCTGTGACCATCTGCATAGTCACTTTGCCATTGGGAGCAGAATTGCTGAGAGTGACAACAAGAGTCTCCCAGCTGTCAGGTAGAGAGCTCAAGAGTAGTATCGCCTGCTCTTCATCTTTGAGAACCCATCCTGTGGTGCTCAACTGAGTCAACAAGATCCTGGAATTGACTGGTGTGTTCTGACACCGAAATACCTCCTCGTAACTTGTGGTTTACTAATCTCCTCATTAGTAACGTCTTATTTCGGGCGGTTTTTGCTTGATACATGCTACCAAGCTTCTCCCATAGTGTGTAAGCACTTTGTTCTTGCTCAACATGGTGGAACACACTATGATCTATCCACTGTCGAATTTGTGCGACAGTTTTTCTATTCATTTTTGTCCATTCTTCATCTGTCTTTTTATCTGGTTTCACGCCATTATTATCAAGAGGATCAGCTAAATCCCTCAAATTTAGCAAATCCTCCATCCGAGGCTTCCACATATTGTAATTTGTGGAAGTGAGCGTAATCATGGTGTCCGATGATGATTTATCCATAATAAAACGCTCAAAATATCTCTTACCTGATTTTCGAAGCGGAATTTAGACAAACGGAGCTCACCGTTGGATCCGGAATGGCCGAAAATGGTAGGAACCGGTCTGACCTCGTCCAAAACCGGTCTGAAAATGGGTGAACCGGCCTCCACAAGTACGAACCGGTTCAGGCAGCAGTCCAGTGAGCATACCAGCAGGCGGATGACGTGGCAACAACTGGCTCTACGCTGGCGCTAACGTGGCGACGACGTGGCGATGACGTGGCACGTATCGACGGCCTGGTAGGGTGACGTGTCAGCTGACGGGGCGTGACATGGCGCTGACGTGGCGCTGACTGGTCGTCTTCTTCCTCTGGACAGCCTGATGACGCAG